GGCCACCACAGAAAAGGCCCTGTCTCTCGTTCCCGCCAGCCGCACGTGTGAAGCCGGCGGGATAGAGAGCAGGGACTCCCCAGAAGACCTTAGGGTCCTGGTGGGCTGATAGGCTGAGATACGTTCGGATAGATAAGTTGGGCCAGAACCGTTTAGGGCTTTAAAGGCCAACGCCAGCACTTTGAATTGAGCCCGGTAGCAGCTCGGCAGCCAGTGGAGCTGGTGCAGCAGAGGGTTGTATGCTCCCTGCGCCCCGCTCCTGTTAGTATCATGGCTGCCGCCCGTTGGACTAATTGGAGCTTCCGGGCTGTCTTCAAAGGCAACCCCACGTAGAGAGCGTTGCAGTAGTCAAGACGGGATGTAACCAGAGCGTGGACTACCGTGGCCAAGTCAGACTTCCCAAGGTACGGTCGCAGTTGGCGCACAAGTTTTAACTGTGCGAATGCTCCCCTGGTCACCGCCGAAACCTGGGGTTCCAGGCTCAGCGATGAGTCCAGGATCACACCCAAACTGCGAACCTGCGTCTTCAGGGGGAGTGCGACCCCATCCAACACAGGCTGTAACCCTATACCCTGTTCGGCCTTGCGACTGACCAGGAGTACCTCTGTCTTGTCTGGATTCAATTTCAATTTGTTCGCCCTCATCCAGACCGTCACAGCGGCCAAGCACCGGTTCAGGACCTCGACAGCCTCCTTAGTAGCAGGTGGAAAGGAGTGACAGAGTTGGACATCATCTGCGTACAGATGACATCGCACTCCGAAACTCCGGATGATCTCGCCCAGCGGCTTCATGTAGATGTTAAACAACATGGGAGACAGTATTGAACCCTGAGGAACCCCACAAGACAAAGGTTGTGGGGTTGAACAGGAGTCTCCCAGTAACACCTTCTGAGACCGACCCTCGAGGAATGAGCGGAGCCACTGCAAAACAGTACCTCCAAGACCCATCCCCGCGAGGCGTCCCAGAAGGATACCGTGGTCGACGGTATCGAAGGCCGCTGAGAGGTCGAGCAGCACCAACAGGGACACACTCCCCCTGTCGAGCTCCCGACGCAGATCATCCACTAAGGCGACCAAAGCTGTCTCGGTACCATGCCCCGGCCTAAAGCCAGACTGTGCCGGATACAGATAATCCGTGTCTACCAAGAATGCCTGGAGTTGTGAGGCCACCACACGTTCCATGACTTTGCCCAAAAAGGGGAGATTGGAAACAGGCCGATAGTTGACGAATTGAGTGGGGTCCAGTGATGGTTTCTTCAACAGCGGTTTTATCACAGCTTGCTTTAAGCTGGCTGGAATTTTGCCCTCCCGAAGGGAGGCATTAACCACCACCTTCACCCACTCGGCCAATCCTCCTCTGGCCTCCTTCAGAAGCCAGGATGGGCAGGGGTCTAGGATGCATGTGGTAGCTCTCATTCCTCCAAGCACCTTGTCCACATCCTCGGATTGAACCAATTGAAATGAATCCATCAAAACCGGACAAGCAGATGCTCGTGTTACATCCTCAGATACTGCCGTTAATATGGTATCCAGTCCAGAGCGGATCAAAGCGACTTTGTCTGCGAAGAACCGAGCAAAAGCTTCGCAGCGAGCTGCCGAGTCATCAGGGCACCCATCCTGAGTGGTGGGTTTTAATAGGCCTCTGACAACTCGGAACAGTTCAGCCGGACGGTTCTTTGCAGACGCAATAGTGGCCGCAAAGAAAGTCTTCTTTGCGGCTTTTATTGCCGCGGCATATGCCCTTAAAAAGGACACAAACCGTGTTCGATTTGGCTCGCTCGGATCCGAACGCCACACGCTCTCTAGTTCCCTCTTCTTTCACTTCATCGCTGCCAGCTCCTCGGTGAACCAAGGAGCTGGTTTAGCTCGGTTACTTGAGAGGGGACGTTCCGGAGCGATCATGTCTATTGCCCTGGTCACCTCCCTATCCCAGAGAGAGACCAGAGCATCAACAGGGTCACTTACCGAGGAGGCGGGAAAATCCCCAAGAGTTATCAGGAATCCACTGGGATCCATAAGTCTCCTGGGTGGACCATTTTAATGGGTCTACCACCCCCTGCAGAGGTCAGAAGGCACAGTGAGTCTAAACACCAGGTGGTGGTCGGTCCATGGCAACCGAGAGACCGCCACCTTCCTCCCATCCCTGGCAGAAAACCAAGTCCAATGTATGTCCAGCACTGTGGGTGGGCGCCAGATACCTGTTGGGACAGCCCCATGGTTGCCATGGTAGACATGAAGTCCTGAGCCGCTCCCGATAGGGCGGCCTCGGCATGGACATTGAAGTCCCCCAGCACAAGCAGCCGTTGGGACTCCAACGCCAGGTCCGAGACCACCCCCGCTAGCTCAGTCAGGGAGTCTGTAGTGCAGCGAGGTGGGCGGTACACTAACAGAATCCCTAATCTGTCCCGGTCACCCACCCTCAGGTGGACGCATTCAAAATTTGTTGACTGCGGGATGGGGGCCCTGGTCAGAAGAATGGAATCTCTATAGACCACTGCAACTCCGCCTCCCCGCCCTCCGGATCTCGGTTGGTGCTGCACAGAGAAACCTGGTGGGCAAAGCTGGGTTAAATTTACACCTCCCGCTTCGTCCAACCAGGTCTCTGTGATGCACGCCAGATCTGCCCGTTCATCCAGGATTAAATCTTGGATGAAAGTTGTTTTACCATTGACAGATCTGGCGTTCAACAGCACCACTTTCAATTCGGAGGGACCGCCATCCTGGTTACACCGACTTACCATATCAGGAGACCGACTTGGGATTACTAATGTTGTTCCACATTCCCTAGGCCGAATTAAAGGTCTCCTTTTCCCGTATCTCCCCCTCCCCACCACGACTTCTATGGGGGCTCCCCGGTTAACGGAACCCTCTCCCTCCTCCATGACGCATTCGGCAGCCAAACTATCTACCCATAATTCATTGTTGACTGTATGGTTTGTTATAGTTCCAGGATGCCATAGTCCTGCCTTCCGTTCATTTCCTACTCCTATTATGTTAAACTCCGGTCTTTCTAATCTACTCCGTTCCCCTTCTCTACCAAAAACAATTAGCAGCAAGATTAACAGATGCCAGGGAAAGGGTAGTGACATGGATGGTAGCTATTAACACTGTCAAAGGAGTTCTTAAAGTGCAGGAGTTAAAGTGCAGGAGTTCTTAGAATGCAGATAGATAATTGTATCAGCATACACGATGGTATAGATAATTAAAGTGCAATAGCTTGGTCAATTGGCTCTAAAGTGCTCAATTAAAGTGCGTCATGGAGGACTGAATTCAATGCTAGACGGTTGAGTTGATTAAAGTGCTAAGGCTCAGTAAAGCTAACAAATCACTGAGATAGTAAGTTAAGGTGCTGTTAGAGTAAAGTGCTAGAATCACACAGGATATTTGTCCACTATGCTTACTAACGGTGCAACAATTAGTTCTTAAATTCTCCGTTCAGTCAGCACAATGGTCAGTGGTCAACAATCTCCCTTTCTCATGAAATCCCCACCAGGTTTTCCCCGCCATAAATTTCAGGGAGAAGGAGGAGGCACAAGGTGGTAAGCGGAATTCTGGGAAATGTAGTTTGGGAATGCGAGGTCCCCTGTGGCAGAGAATACAAAAGGCCCCGCTCTAAACTATATTCCCAGAATTCTGCTTGCTTCGAAATATTGGGACTGCCCTCGTTAAAGCCTCAATGTGAGTGTGGTCTCTGCTTGTCTCTCTGGGCCAGTCATGTGCTAGAGAGGCTTCTTTCTTGCCAGGCCATCCAGCCAGGCATCCCTCCCTTCTGTCCGCCGATCCCGGGGGCCCTTTGCTGCCTCCTTTCGGGAAAGAACGGGGCTTCTCCATTGACTTGCCACCTAGTATGCTGGAATACCAAAAAGGGTTTAGAAATGTAATTAATGATGTTTAATAGTCACACCAATGTGTGATCTTTAAAAACACACCCATGCAAATGCACATTTTCTTGCAAGTTTGTGGTTTGAATTGTGACAAGTTTCCTTGGGGATCAGGCATACTTCCTTTCACTTTTCCATGGTTAAAATGATTTAATGAGTGTAAGCAATTGAATTTTAAAATTCATGCCAAATATTACATTCCTCTGCATCACAAAATAGTTTCTGTTAAACACTTAACACAACACTGTATTTAAAACTGGTACTCTGATTGAACAGAAAAAATGATTAAATGTCAACTATTAGTATCAGCTTGACAAGAAAAATGCCCCATCCCAGTTGGCTGCACACTAGATGCTACTGTTGCTTTTGGCATTTAATAATAAACAAACCCTTTGAGGCGCAATAGTTCAACCAAGTACTACTTTTTCTATGGATATGTCACAAGCCTTAATGCCAGTCATGTGGTCCCTTTCTTGTTTTAATGTATCTTTCCTTAAGCTGCCAGGAATCCTTTCTCCAGATCTCCTGACTCTTTCTATTTGGGAAGCCAAGCTAGAACCTCTATAGTGACTGATTTCTTATGCTACTCAATCAGCCTAGAAGTCACTGGCCACATTATAGTACACAACTGTTTGATCCAGATTAAAAGACACTGGATTTACCTAAGCTTCCAGTCAATTGGTTCTGTGGCATGGGAAATATATTTGTGCTTCATTGGTTTTAAGTATAACTTTGCACTATATAATTGAACCTCCACGTTTGTCAGTTTTAATTTTGTTTAATCACACGTTTGATTAAAATGTTATCTCTATGAATCTCTAGTTCCTCCAATGTGACTCTATGGTCAATTTTCATCAGAAGTAGATCATAGAATTGTGCTGGAGAACCTAGAAATTTTTGTAGAGATGTTCTCTCAAATCAAAATAAATTGTGTTTTAACATTTTCTTCTTGCATTTTTTTCTACTTTTGCAGGGGTTCTATGGCCTAACTTCACTGAATATACAGTTTTCCTTATTTCATTTTTAACCAGACAGCAAGACAGTTTCCTCATCCATCCATGTCTTTCTTTTCTCTACCTCTCTAAATGTAATAAGAGATCTCTCTCCTTTGTTTTGCTAGGTTCTGATGCTAGCACAATTGAAATCCACGTCTCAAGTGGAATCCATGAATTAGATGGTAACGATGCTGATGTTGAATAAATGGAAAACCATTCCAATGAGGAGCTGGAGATCCCCCAAATGTCTATCATGGCAATATTCAGTAGCCCTTCTTTGAAAATCGGTTTCCAATCGTCCCATACACAAGCCTGAACACTGCTTGATTAACTCGTCACAATGTTCCACTCTATGCAAAACCACATTTCAAATAGATAAAGTTATCCTGAATATGTAATCAAGCCATGCCCTGATTCAACAAGTGGTAAAATACTCTGTTTGTCCTAAGTAACTGACATTTTGTATGATTCATTTCTTTTTTACCACTGAATTTGGTTGTGACGTGAACTACACAATGTCACAGCAGGATGTGAGCATACAAAAAGTGCAATCAAACTTGCCCACCTTTACTTACTTTTATTTGCTGTTCCAGTGTTAATTCTATTTAAAATAAGCATAGAAGACATCACAGAAGCTCCATAGAACTGGACCTCTCTGGGTTTTAGATACTGTCATTCCTTTCCACTTTTGTGACATGCTGGTTGGAGAAGCTGGGCATTACAGTCCAATACATCTGGAAGGTACAAAGATGTGGAAGGTTGATCTAAGTTATTGTTTGCTGCACCTGTTGCTCCTTACTGTGGTGAAGGCATTGTGGTGCTTCAGGAAGGCAGAAAGCTATGGTAGACAGAAAGTTGGATTGCACTAAAACTAGATAAATAGGATAGCTCAAAAGTCAGGGATGATGGCAAGTTCACCCAAATCTTACTTTTGGCTTTATTTGGTACTCATAATCATTTAATCATTTTAGCTTTAGATTTTTTTTCTTATTTGAAAAAGAAACAATATCTTAAAAACTATATACATATGATAAGATCAGCAATATTATAAATATAAAATGGTATCATAAAACTATACACATTGTTTTATGTAGAGGTGCTACTCTTACACAGTATCAACAGCTTTTATCTGGCATCACCCATAATAGCCGTTTCAAGTGTTTGTTCTACCAGCTTGCCAAATGATAAAATTTGATCAGCCAGGCTGGGAATATGCCTGAGGTCTATAATTACACTGTGCGTGGATTAAATTTAGCATTTTATACAGAACTGGAAATCACTCACCATTTTAGCCCTCTTCAGGGCAGTTCTAACCTTGGAGAGCTACAGTATCAAAGCTTCTAGGAAATCTAAGGCTCTTGTTGATCTGATGTCATCAGAATGGAAGGAACAGTCAGCACTTTCCTCAATTTCTTCTTCCATGGCCATTTTGTTTTTCTTAATTCTCTATATTGAAGCAATGTAATTGCTCTACTGGTGCTCCAGAGGTAATTGGAGCAAAGAAGAACTTCTTTGGAATGCCTCGTGAATAGGTCCACAGTCTCTCCTATCACATCCTTCCTCTCCTTCAGAAGAGGATTAGCCATGGCTATTTCTGTAACTGCTGAGATGGGGATCCTAGCGTTGCTTATCTAAAGATGGACATCTTTCCAGTTTTGTTTCAGTCTTTGGAACAGGTTTGATACATCCTAGGGCAGCTGGAATACTCTTCGGGTGAGATCTCAGAAGGCACATACATACTTACATACATAACTAGAAAAGTTTTCTTGTTCCTTCCCATAATCAGAAGAAATAACCTTATGTAGTTTTCCACATCTGAAAACTTTACACAAGATTCTGGCTGTAAAAAACATGCTATTCTGATTTATACAGAAAGAAAAAGAACAGAGGACCTTATGAAAAAAATGCTACTGTTAACAGCATGGAAAGGATGAGAACTCACACGTAATTTTCTAATATCAAAATATAGCAATTTATTCAAGACACTGAATATGATCTGTTGAATCTCTCCTTGAAACAAATGAACTACAACACACAAAGTGATTTGCTGAAAAGTGTGTTTGTGTGTGTGAGTATGAGAGGAGGGGTGATAGACAATACAGACAGGGAGGAGATATTGTTTCAACAGAACCTAGGAAATGCTGAAATGAGAACCAAGCTGGCTTCAAGTCTGACACAGACAATAAAACTTTAGAAGCCAGAATTCAAACTATCCGTGGATGGCTGAAATCATAATTCTGCAATTGACAACTGCATTTTAAAAGGCAAAAAAATAGAAAGAAAAATGAGAAAGAGAACAAAAGTACAAACCCTTGAAAATGACCCTTACATGTAACAAAGTGCACTTCACTTGACTCTAAAATTAGCTAGTTTGTTTTCAAAATAAAAAAAATTAAAATGCAATTTTTTATATGTATCAGGGGACTAATACTTATTGAACCCTAGAAATACCTGACCGTGTAAAATCCTGTTTAGGAACCCAATGTTTACCATGTTAAAGATGTAGTTTCCACCTTTTATAGAGCTTACCAACCTTTTCAAAGGGATAAATGTCTTAAATATTTTAAATAAAGACAGGTCCAGAAGTGATTATAATAATATTCAAGAATTGGTAATGGAGAAAATGAGTTCTCTTTTTGATATTTTAGTTACTGCAAATCCCACTGATGAGATGCCCTCCAAACAAGTGTTTATGAAAGTGTTTAGTTTTTATTAGCTTGAAGTTCTGGTGAAGCTGTCTGTAAAAGTGAACTACACTGCAAATGTCTCCCACAGAGACACTGTTTTTTAAAAGAGGCGGCCAATAAATAATAAAATGCCTATACACTGTAAAATGCTAAACCCTCCAAAATCTGAAACTTCTTGCTGCCAGCCACTCACTTCTGCTTTTGAGAATGTGGTGCTCCTAAAAGACAGAAGTAGATGGCTGCCAGCTCTTCAGAGATCTCCGAACAGTAGCGAATATAAAGTATCTCAGATCCTTCGTCTCTCTCTAGCTTCACATCTCAAGCACAGCACAGGTAATGAATAAATGAGAAGTAAGGCCTTAGAGAGATGCGAGGATCTCTGAAATGCCAGGATTGTGTGGTCACGCGGAGCGCTACCCTTGGATTTTTGGCATTTCACAGATACTCGGCCTCTTTCCATCCTCACATCTCATTCATTCTCTACTCCTGTTGCTTATACCCCATCTGCACTGATAATTCAATGCAGCTCCAAGCTGATTTGAAACTGCAGCGGCTACAACGTGCCCTGTAGCACATATTAAAGTGGATACAGTGTATTAAAGAATGTCCTTTAATGTGCTGCAGCAGATCCCAATATACCGCAGATACTAAGATATCCCAGAATGCAGAGTGCACTGTAGACACCCATTCTTGTTGAAGTGCTTTGTAGAATTCACAATGCATGGCTGGCTAGCAGGGTCCTATATGACCCCCTTGGAAGGTTAACTGATTACCTCCATTCTTTCCCTGTCACCTTCCCCAGATCTCTGGGGTGCTGTTGCGCATCTCTCCCACAAATTGGGAGAAACAGGACTCAAAGTGTAATTTGAAGCCAGGTTCCATGGTTAATGTAATTATCAACCTGGCCTCAAACCAGTTCCAACCTGTCAATTTCATCACCAACATAGAAAAACTGGTTCCTCCCAAATGAGGAAAAGTCAATGTAGAAGGGCCCTATGAGACATGAGACTGGTGAGAGACTGAGGATCTGTAAATGGCCAGATATGAATCCATGCCTCTCCAGCCTCTCACTCTTTTTCTCTCTCTCCAGCTTCTCAAATACAGTACATGCTATACCATTAGTATTTCAAAATCCAAAACAAATCTAAAATCCAAACCTGGTCCCAAGCAATTTGGATAAGGGAGGCTCAACCTGTACCTGCTAATAAATTTAAACCATAAACTTCTTGCTGCCAGCCACTCACTTCTGCTTTTTGAGAATGTGGTGCTCCTAAAAGACAGTATTATTTAGTATATCAGAGATCTTTTAAAAAATAATACTTAAAAATAGGATTTAGCAAATTGTCTTTCTTGTGGAGGACAGAAATGAAGAAACTGCATCTTTAAATGTGCATTGGGATCCATCTGAATTGTTCTTTCAAATTTCTAATATGATCCAGAGTACCTCTTGGCAGAAATTTTTAGCTTCTAAAATTGCGAGTAACATAAAAAATACTACTACTTTTTTCCTTTCCAAAAATACACTGGGTTCTTTCTTTTTCAAAAAGTCATCTGTCTCCTGTAAAAATCTTTCCCGGCACTGCATTCTTACATAAAGCACTTATTACACAATTTGTTGAAAGTGCCCTTGAGACACTAAGAGTGAAACATGGAAATATTTAAAAAAGAAGAAGCAGCTGGGAGAAAAAGAAGGAGTAGAGATGATAGCAGGGGAAAGAGGAGGACAAAAGCAATCTCTTACCAAGTTTCCATCATACCCACCTGGCTACATTTACTGTATGCATAAAGGGTAAAAAAGCAAAGCAAAACAAACATACAAAAAAAAAATGGGCACAGAAGGAAAGAAAGAACGAAATTCAGTTCAAACCTATGCCTGTGATCCTCAAGGTTATAATATTCCAGCTGATAGGGAAAAAAAAACAACCAACCACTGAACAAACAAAAGTAGTCTAGAAAATAGAAAGTGTTGTGATTACAAAGTTTGTGTGTGAGACATCAATACAAACTGGTCTTTGAACGTCCTTTGGGAGAGCAACTGTAGTGTCCAGATTGGAAGGGAAAAAATACAATAGCGCATGGAGAAGGATTATTTTTCCCATTTTGGTTTCTAAAAGTATTTTGCTTTATAGGGTTTCTTTTTGTTTAGTTTTCCATCATCATAATTATTATTTGGCACAGCTTTTTCTCTTCTCTTCTGCAGCCACCAGAACACGTTCTTGGAGACCCAAACCAAATGCAGCAGGGTTTTAGCTTGTAGCAGACTCTTGCTTTCTTGCTTCCTTTCAAAGGGTGAAGGTTCCTGGTGGAAACAGTCTCCACGCCCTCCCCCACTACATGATTGTGTTTCAGTTCCTTGGTGCAGGTTACAGACAAAATGTTGCAGGCCCCTGTCACTTGAGAGAGTTGCTTTTGTTGTACACTCTAGGATTTCCTCCCCAGTTTCTGTATGTTTCCCCCAGTTCTTGCAGTTCTAGAGATGTTAAAAGTAGTTTTGAAGAGTGCTTCTACCCACACATTCAATGCTGGTCCATTTGTAATTTCTTCTAAAACATTTACTTCCGCAGGTCTAGAACACAAACCTGGATGGCAGAGGAGTAAAAGGGAAAGGAATAGCAATCAGGAACAAAACATGAATGAAAATTGTTCTTTCAGACTTTATGGTAACAATTATATTGATGAGGGACTGCAGCAGAACATACTGAACTAAGTGACAGTTTCATATTCATTGAGCACCTTACCCTTATTTTTGCGAGCAAAGGTGAGCCACAAATTATCAATAATAGGCCATGTAACTTTTATAGAAAAATACATTTCCCTTTTCCAAAAAACTAAAAAAATATTTAGTTTAGAATGTGTATTACATATGTGAGATGGATGTTGGCTACGTAATAGTAAAATCAAGCTTAAGGTTCACCTGATTTTGGGAGAAATCATGCATTATAACAGCAGCCTTAAGTATCACACTGTTTGTCATATGTCATCAATAGCCACTGAACTTGCCGAAAGCATCAAGAATATTTCATGCATCTACCAAGCTACAGACTGTTAGGTTTTTTGTAAGACTAAATTCTATATGAGACTTGATTACCCAACTAGGACTTTATCTCAGGTCAGTTTGATCAAACACAAATCCATTTGAATTCTGCTTGCTAACACACCGCAAGAAGACAGTTTGACAACAATGAAAAATATTTTAATTTGGGTTGGTCAATCTTAACAACTGCAAACCGGAGGAAGAAAAGATCTACAAAGACTTACCGATCCATCTGATGCACTGGCTCCCACTTTATCCCCTCTAGCATTCCAGCAAACTTCAAATATTCCCCCAGTGCCTCTGTAGCTATGTACTAGAGCTCCACTCTAAAAATAGACAAATTCATCGTGAGGTGAGGAATTTTTTTAAAACTTGTTTTCTTAACATCTGTTCTTATACATATGTACTGTATAAACATCCGTAAATGACACATTTTGATCTCCATTCTATGAAGGACTGGGTTTCCTATATCTCCGAAGATCACGATGTATGTCTTAGAGCGCAGCATTCCACTTGCTCACTGTATTAATCTTGTAGTTAGTTTGCCAATTTTAAACCAGATCACCCTCTTCACCACCAGAGGGTCCTGTTGAGGCTCAGAGACCATATGCAAATTTCCTTTCCCCTCTCAACCAATTGAGGATGTTGAAGTTTTCAGGCTGGCCAATTAGAGACCATATGAAAATAGTACCACAGTGGCAGCCAATCAGAAAGCTGGCACTTCCTCCACATACCCGCATACCCGCATACACACATACACGCATACAAACACTCTCTTTTATTATATATATAGATAGATATTTAACTTCCTAGGAAATATCACCATCTGAAACTTTACAACAGTAGTGTCATGCAGCTCTGATGATATCCAGACCTACTGTTATTTAATACAGTATCTAGACAAAATTCTTTCTGCCTTGGCTTGTGCCTTAAAACCACAATTGGTGGTCAGGGATCAAAACCTGCAAAGCAGAATTTAGATAAAAGTGATTAGGAAGAAGCAACCCTTGTGAAAGGAGAGAGGTTTCCTTGTGATTTATTGAAACAATAATTCTATCAGAACAAAAATGCACACTAGCCCAGAACATTGTTATGAAGCATTTTCGTTATCAATAATGCTTTCTATAAGTTGTCACTAATTTAGCTCTTCTAGAGAGGTTTACTCAAAATCACTTCATTAACCCACACACTAAGCATCGACAAAAACTTATAGTGGGAGTCTTCTATAGCTGTCCTAACAACAACAACAACATACTTTATTTATATTCTGCTCTATGCCCCCGAGGGACTCAGAGCAGATTACAGTATAGATATATGGCAAACATTCAATGCCATTATACATTGAGCAACAAAGACAGAGGCAAAAGCTTTCCCCTTTCCATCTCCGGCATCTGGAGTCTGTGCTGAACTACAGCCATGGGGAGGTGCTCTTGTTCCATTTTTCATGCCAAGGAGCCTGTTGTCTGTGGATGCCTTCCAGATCAAATTGCCAGCAAGTCTGCATGGGTGCCTTTTCTTTCCCGTAAAAGCGGTACATATTGATCTACTCACATTATTGTTTTAGAACTGCTACATGGTAGAAGTTAGGGGTGACGGCAGGAGCTCACCCCGACCCACAGCTCTGCCATTTGGTTGGCAAGATTTTCTGCAGCTGGCAGTTTAACCCACCATGCTACTATGACCCTGAGAAGCTAAGGTTATAGCATCCATTGCAAGCTGAAATATCATAGGTGTATTCTTCAGGCTTTCAGAAGATTGTGTAAGTTGCATTCCAACAGACTTGTCAGGAACACTATGACACAATGTCATAGTGTTCTTGACATTGAGATTACTGGGTATACATTTTATCATTTTTGGTTGTACAGTTGAAAACTTTGTTAAAAACTGTGTGGGTTTGAATATATATTTAAAAACCAGAATGAATCCTGAACTTTTCATGGTATACCACATTTCTTCCCTCTTCTAGATATATAGGTATCACTAACACAGAAAAAATGCTTCTGCCAGTATTATCTATTTGAGTTGATATCTACCCTGGTTTCTCCTGCACCAAGGCGAGACTCAAAGCAGCTAACAATACAATAAGGACATGCGAAGTAAAAAATAAAACAGATTTAAACCTGATAAATTTCTTACAGCAACCTGAATATCTAAAACTTTCAGTGATAAAACCCTATCTACAAATATACATATTTAAAACCATTGGAGCCTCCGGTGGCGCAGTGGGTTAAACTGCTGAGCTGCTGAACTTAAATCTGGGAAGCAGCACCTACTGTTAGTCCCAGCTTCTGCCAACCTAGCAGTTCGAAGACCTGCAAATGTGAGTAGATTAATAGGTACTGCCTTGGCGGGAAGGTAACGGCACTTCATGGAGTCATGCCGGCCACATGACCTTGGAGGTGTCTACATACAACGTCAACTCTTTGGCTTAGAAATGGAGATGAGCATTAGAGTTGGACATGACTAGACTTAATGTCGAGGGTAAGCCTTTACCTGACTTTATTAAAAACTATTAATTAACACCATTGGGAGCCAAATTCCCATACTCTTGGATCTAGAGTAGGATTGTGTTCTAATACCATTGACTATCTTTCCAAATTCTGAAACACCCAGCTTACAGAAATACAAAAAAAAATGCCTTTTTCTATCAAGTTTGATAACATATATTTCAGCAGATTTTGATTTATAACTTTGTTTGCAGATCTGTGCTTAACGAGGACTGCAAGTGGCCAGTCTACTACAGGAGATCATTGTCCTTTATTGGGCGCTGATTAATCTACTAATCTTGTTTGGACAATTCATTGCCAGTGGAAGCAAGGGACATGCATTCAGACAGGACCTTTTGCTTATTTAGCTTTGCATTTATATTATGCCACAATATTAATCTATATAAAAGTCTTAGCCCCTTCTACACTTCTATATAATCCAGTTCAAAAGAGATAATCTGGATTTTATATGGCAGTGTAGAAGGGGTCCTAGTTTGTAAGACGTGCAGCAATTAATAACATTAAATGTTTTGCGAACACGATTTTAGTGCCAGGATGTGAACTTTCCATACCTGAGTATTCCATATATGGACACATTTGTCAAAAGACCCACTGGCTAAGTATTTTCCATCAGGACTAAAAGCTACACTGTAGACAGGTTCTTGATGTTTGGTTAACGTGTGAGTGCAGACTCCTCTATCGACATCCCACAATCGAACAGTAGAGTCAAATGAAGCACTGTGGTAAACAGATAAAACAAGGAATGTCAGTAGCTGAAAAGTTTCCATCAAACTGAATAGCAGTTTCTGATTCACGCAAGTATCCACTCATCATGTTGCATGGGTAGTGCTGGTGTAAAATTTATACGTTTTTGGGCAAACACAGAATTTGGTCTCAGGTCCCCAATCTGGGCTAGCATTGCTTGTGGTTTGGCAGATAAAGAAGTAAACTTGAAAATGAAATCCCAGGTTAACAACAGAGGATAACCCATTCCCAATAGCTGGTAGTCCTTGAGAGATGTATACAATTGGGTGTGTGAAATTCAGTGCAAGCAAATCATAGAGTTGGAAGACACCACGTAGGCCATCCAGTCCAATCCCCTGCCAAGACGCAGGAAAAATGGCCAACCAGCCATCCAAAAGCCTCCAAAGAAGGGTTCCCCAGTCCAGGGCAGAGAGTTCCACTGCTGAGAGTTCCAGGAATAATCAACTCCACAAAAATCAAACCTGTAAATGTGAAGGGCTTTTTGTATATCTTCGGAGAATAACAGTAGTGATCACCTGCTTACATATACCATACATATAAGTTTAGCACAAGGGAAGGTGGTTGGTAGCCCTGGTTAATAAGTTTCTGTAGCAACCTAGATAGCATGTTAGAATGGGCACAATACAAATCGGAAGACAGAGGGAAATGTAAAATTCCATAATGGAATCATGACATTGTGGGCCATCCAGTCCAACCCCCTGTCAAGATGCAGGAAAATCACATTCAAAGCACCCCTGATAGATGGCCACCCAGCCTCTGTTTAAAGGCTTCCAAAGAAGGAGCCTCCACCACACTCCAGGGCAGAGAGTTCCACTGCTGAACAGCTCTCACAGTTAGGAAGTTCTTCCTAATGTTCAGGTGGAATCTCCTTTGGTGTAGTTTGAAGCCATTGCTCTGCATCTTAGTATTCAGGTCAGCAGAAAACAAGCATGCTCCCTCCTCCCTATGACTTCCCCTCACATATTTATACATGGCTATCATGTCTCCTCTCAGCTTTCTTTTCTGTGGCTAAATATACCCAGTTCTTTAAGCTGCTCCTTATAGGACTTGTTCTCCAGACCTTTTATCATTTTAGTTGTCTTTCTTTGGACACATTCCAGTTTGAGTAGCCTTCTGAAGGAGAAGCTGAGCATCCAATCCCGCCTTGGCACTCAGCACAGAAACCAAATGGACTATGCAACGATGGACCACACACACCCTGTACCCAATATTAAAATGCAGCTCTCCATTCTACTCTATCTGTCACCTCATAATAGGGCAGTAACACACTTTTCAAGGTAGTAGCTCTGAGGCAATCACTTTTAGGATTTTAATCCGGTTTATGCATTTCACTAGCAAAGCAATTCATTATGAGACCTAGTGCATATCTTTCAGGGTTGCAAAGTGTCAACAGGTATAAGAAAAAGTAACTACTATTATGAAAGAACATTGCTACTGAAAAAGAAAGTGACCCTGTTAGATCCCAGGTTGATTGGGAGTTGGAAGAGCAGCTGGCTTTCACTCTTCCACTGTCTGCATTCAGCCTACCTACACTGGCATTTTTTTGCTGCTCAACAGGATCTTAGCCAAGGTCCACCTAATCTAGTTCAGAAGCTTATGGTGAAAACATCAATAATATCCCCTAACATTTTTTGAAAGAAGGGAGGTACATATAAAATCAGTATGTACTTGCTCAATGTCCTTATTTATGTGAGTATAATGTGCCATCAAATATCATGCATACCTCAATTTTGAAGGTGCCCAATACAAAAATGAATTTGCTCTCAAATGTAATGCGCCTGACAACACAGAAATAGCACATCAGGGAGGCAGGCAGTGTGAATGAGGCCATTTGGGGAGCCATGCCACTCCAGCAGGTTGAAGCTGGCTAACTTGCTACCCTCGTGATGTTTCCAACTGGCCTTATTCATGAGGCCTTCAAAACTGATGGGGGAAGATGGTCGAGAAACCTTGAGGGCTGCCCAGGAGGCAAGATACATGGCTAAACAGCAGGAACAACAGGGTCACCAGCTGAAGTTCCTCCTCCTTCCCTGGACATCAGAGCCCTGAAGGAGCTACCACTAGGAATGGCCTCTTTACCCCCACCTCCCCATGCGGCCTGCAAAACCTTGGGTCCCTCCGGGCCTTTTTACACAAGTGGGCTTATGTGCATGATTCAAACCGCCATCGACTCTAATGCACAACTCAATTTTGGCAATGTAATTAGCCAAAAAATGCTCAAGTAAATATATTAAAGGATAAAGTATTACTCTTTATTTCTGCATGCAGAATTTCATGAGTTTGGGAACAAAGGCTGTGATTTACAAAGTGCTTTGTTGTAAAAGGAGGTGTAACATTGTTTTACCTTGCCAACATAATGTTGGAGCTTGGGTTGGTGGTACCTGGTCCCGTTGGACTCCATTTGATAGTGTAAATCTCTTTGTTATGCGCTTGTAGATCATGTACACATGTATCTTGTTTCATACTCCAAATCTATATAAAGAACCAGAGAGAGGGACATCACTGTAATCCTCCCCATAACTATAAAGCTGTGGGTTTTTTAAACTTTGAATATGTTTTAATTGATTTTAACTGTTAACTTTTTCATAATAATAATAATTATATTTAATTCTGTTTTAATGTTTGCATATTTGTAAATTGTATGCTAATGCTTTTATGTTAAGCTGCTTCGGAGAGATAAAGCAGGGAATAATAATAATAATAATAATAATAATAATAATAATAATAATAATAGAGTGATCTTGTCTGCTGTGGACGCATCTTGTTGTGTTTCAAATAATAATAATAAAATAATGAAGCTCATTAAAAATAAATTTGTAAAAACTGGACAGTTCTCCTTTCAAATAATTTTTGAACCATAATGAACATGTACAACAGTTAAAATACTGAACGGCGAACTTTAAGCATTAACACTTTTTTTACTTTTCAGCAACAGCGCTTTGAAACACAATGCAAACATTTCAGAGGATATTGCATTACCTTTAATGTCATATCATCTGAGCATGATGCTAGAAGCATGCCAGAAGGATCCCATTTGATTGCATTGACCTCATTCTGAAATAAAAGAGTTATTTTCATTAGTGATTATTTTTTAAAAAACTGCACTGAATTTCTTAACCAGAAGGTGGCCGTCTCGGTTCATTTTACAAGAAGCAAAAACACTGCATGTTTTGTGGCAACTTCTGCTCCTTTTATTCATGAAACAGCAGAATTTTTCTACAATATCTTCTGGTATGTAAGTTAAATGAAAGAATATATAGAAGAAATAGCATTCAGTATTGCTTCATTTTTCAGCGGCATTATCAGAAACTAGTTAAATCTCAACAAAATATTTAAAGAAAAACTGCCTTGCAGTAATGCATATGACTCAATGACTGTGAAATGGGCCGTAGTGGCACAGCAGGTTAAACTGCTAAGCTGCAGAACTTGCTGACTGGAAGGTCGGCTATTCGAATTTGTGGGACAGGTGAGCTCCCGTTGCTAGCCCCAGTTTCTACCAACCTACAGTTCGAAAACATGCAAATGTGAGTAGATCAATAGAGACCACTCTGGCTGGAAGGTAATGGTGCTCCATGCAGTCATGCCGGCCACATGATCTTGGAGGCGTTTATGGACAATGCTGGCTCTTTGGCTTAGAAATGGAGATGAGCACTGTAGAGAAGTGTTTATTATACTGTGTTTCAAACTGTGTTTAGGCTTTACATTGTGGCCAGGGCCTAGCTGAGAGAGAGATAGGTTGCCATGGTGACAAGCCAGAGGAGGTGGGCGGAGCTTAAGTAGAAAAGGTTTGAAAGCGACAGTTTATTTTCAGTCAGGCGGATGAGACCCTGAGGAGAGTAGCAGAGTCAAAGAGGCTCTGTGGAGTAGTGTAAATTCAGTTAGTTCTTAGGTTTTGTGAATATTATTCCAGCTAGGAAGCTGAAGGTGGAAACTCGTTAGATTGCTTGAGTAGAAAAGAATCTAACAAGAAAGGGTTTCAGGATCCCAGTGGTGAAAGTCTGGAGATCGTTGGTTTGATCCGGTGAAGGACAAACAGTTGTAAATATTCACAATAGGGAACACTGAAATAATAAAGTACCTCACTGTAGAAAGAGTTAAAGGATTGTAACATCGGAAGACTTAATGTAACTCAACCAAGCCATTTTGTATCCATCAAGCTTGTGCCAAGTTCAACAGTTTAATTTTGCAACAATTTACGCTCTGATAACAATAAACCTATTCTTTTTTGTGTTTTAAACTTGCCTCCTTCACTGATTTCCACGTTTGAAGCATTCCACACTACCCAAGGTGCCTCACAACACAGATAAGGATAACCAGAGATCATTTTACCAATATCTCTTATATTAGGGTGGCAATTTAAGCTAGAAGTCTCAAACCATTATTACATCTGTGTGGTGATCCTATTTATTTGGGATTTTACACCATTATTTCATTTTGGAGACTTCCTCACATATTTTGGTGGCAGCAAGTGAACGGTTTTAAATTTTTAGTAACAAGCGGTGGGAGTCACGGCTTCGCAAATTTGGTGGCAGACGACGGGATTCGTGTAACAGCTAATCGAGTGCCTTAAGTTTAATTTTGAAATAAGTTGTGAGGTAAAAGTTGCTGAAAAAATGGCTACCAGGCGGCAGAGAAAGCTAGCTGAGGAAAGAGAAGAAGAAAATTCGAGCTCTGAGACAGATGAGCCAATACCTTTCTCAGAAATGGCTTTTAAGTACAAGTTAGAGATGAAACGATTGGAAATTGAGGAAAGGCAAAAGGAGAGAGAATTGGAGGAAAGGCAAAGGGAAAGAGAGATAGAATTGAAGAGAATGGAGTTTGAGCTAGAGAAACAAAGATTGGCTTTGTCCCAAACAGCCAGTGGATCCCAGGAGGGAAGATCTGGAGGAAATACCCCAGATTGATGAAGAAATTCCCAAAATTCAACAAAGACGATGATCCAGAGAAATTCCTAATATCTTTTGAGAGATGTTGTCGAGATTTTGATGTGGCTAAAGAAAGATGGATGACATACCTAAGGCCACAAATAAGTGGGAAACTTTTGCAGATTTATGGACAGATGCCTGAGGAGTCTTATGGAGACTATGATCTGTTTAAGAAGCAGATTCAACAAGAATTTAGATTGACTCCTGAATATTATAGATTTAAGTTCAGGACAATAAAAAGATAAAGCTCAAAGTTTTGCTCAGGTGGCCTCAAGACTGTCTCAACTGTTTGATAGTTGGATAAGGACGTCGGAGGTGGAAGATTATCAACAGCTGAGGGAACTTTTGAAGCTGGAGCAGTTTTTTCAAATATTGCCTTTTGATATCCGGTGGGTGATTCAAGATCGCAAGCCAGCCACTGTTGTAGAGGCAGCGGTTATGGCAGATCAAATTACAACCTTAAAAGAGGGATTTAAAAGAGAAGATCCACCAGGCGAAAGAAGAGTAAACAAGCCGCCATTTTATCCACATCAAACGCGCCCACAACCAGGGAAGGTTTCTGACTTAGAAAACACCATCTATAGGAGGCAGAGTGTAACAAGACAAACCTCTCCTGAGGAAAAAAGACGTTGCTTTCAATGTGGAAAATTGGATCATATAAAATATCAATGTCCTCTGTTAAGGAAAGAAAAAACATCCCTCTTTGTGAGCAAGATGAAAGAAACACCACAGACAGAACAGGATACTGTTTCGAAAGAGAGTTCAAGCTTGGAGCCACAAGAGAAACAATGTTTGTTCATCCTGTCAGGCAGCCCATTTAAAGATTACTTGGAATCCATCAGTATTGACAACAAGGACCGGAAGGGACTCAGAGACACAGGTTCAGAAGTGTGTTTAGTGAATCCTGAAATAGTACCTCAGGAATTTCAACAGCCAACCTCTGAAGTAAAGCTAAAAGGTTTAGGACCTGCGATTCCAACTGCGGTCGTGACCTTACCAATAGAATATGATGGATGGAAAGGTATGTGGGACTTTGCAGTTAGTCCTGACATACCATACGAATGCTTAATTGGAAACGATTTGGCTGAGAGGATTAAGAGCGAGAAGATGGCGTGTGAGGAGAAGGAATATAACATCGAAACCCCTGAACCAGCAGCCCTATGTTTTGCCGTACAGCGTGATGGAAGTGAGGGTCCGGAGTCCAGTTCTACAGTTGCTGAGCTTGTTAGTAAGACGGGAGGAGTTGAGGAGATTCGGCAGGAACAAAGAGCCGATAATTCTCTTAAGCCTCTATTCGCGGCAGCTCAAAACACCCAGGTATCAACAAAGGAACAGCCCTCCGAGTTTGTGCTAAAGAAGGGTGTATTATACAGAGAAACCAGAAGAGTACCCTCGACAGAAGGATCAGTGTCAGATAGTCAAATTGTAGTGCCTCAAAAATTTAGAGAACAGCTAATGAGGGTGGCACACGAAAACCCTCAAGGTGGACATTTGGGTGTGAGAAAAACCACGAGTAGGATCACTAGGAATTTTTATTGGCCTGGCATGTTCCAGAGAATAAAAGAATTCTGCCAGTCATGTGATACATGCCAAAGACAAACTACAGGGAGGGATAAGACCAAAGCACCTCTTATCCCTATGCCTTTAATTGGAGAGCCGTTCTACAGAGTGGGAATTGACATAATTGGTCCCCTCAACAAGCCAAGCAGACGTGGCTATAGATACATCTTAACTATGATAGACTATGCTACGAGGTATCCCGAAGCAATAGCTCTCACTAACATCGAGACTACAACTGTAGCTAATGCTTTATTGTCTATCTGGGGAAGGACTGGATACCCCAAGGAACTGGTATCTGACTTAGGGACCCAGTTTACCTCAAAGCTCATGACAAAACTGCTTGAGCTATGCGGAATTCGACATCTTACATCAACGGCATACCACCCCCAAACCAATGGGTTGGTTGAAAATCTGAATAAGACACTGATTAAGATGATGAAGTCATATTGCCAAGAAAGACCATTTGATTGGGACAATAAGCTTCAACAGCTATTATTTGCTTATAGAACCGTCCCTCAGGACAGTACAGGATACAGTCCTTTTGAACTGTTATATGGCAGGAAGGCTCGAGGACCGTTAGATTTGGTTAAAGAATTCTGGGAAGCCAGCCCAGTAACAGAACCGGTTCCTGTAGATGATTATTTGAGAGATCTTCAATCAACAATGCGGTTAGTCAGAGACATTGCACAAGAGCATCTAACTGCAGCACAACATCGGCAAAAAGACTATTACGATGCAACGGCCAAACCAAGAAACTTCAATGTGGGAGACGAAGTCCTGTTTTTGTCGCCCAACAGAACCAGCAAGCTTCAACTAGATTGGTCGGGACCATGGAGAGTCACCAGAAAGCACAACCAAGTGAACTATGACATCTATGATGAACATTTAAATGTTGAAAGGAGAGTCCATGTAAATATGTTAAAACCTTATGTTGTAAGGTCTGCGAATGTATGTTTTGTTGTTGCGGAAGAAGAATCCGGTCCCTTTTCTTTTTGGGAGGGTGATCGTGAACAGTGTAAAAATTTGGATCGGGTAGATATGAACATAGAATTGTCTAACAAGCAGCGTAGAGAGGTCGTAGAAGTGTTAAGTAAATATAGAGGCATATTTTCGGATTTGCCAGGAAAAGTCCAAGGGGTTCAGCATCAGATAAACACCGGTGATGCCACTCCTATAATCTCTCCACCTTACAGGGTTACTGGAAGAATTAATGAGTGTATTGAGAAAGAAATTAGAGAAATGTTGGATCTAGGCATTATTGTTCCTTCGGTTAGCTCTTGGGCTTCACCTATAGTGTTAGTGCAGAAGCCAGATAAAACAGTTAGGTTTTGTGTAGACTATAGAAAGTTAAATAAAGTAACCCAAATCGACACATATCCTATGCCACGTTTGGACGATCTACTAGAAAGGATGGGGAAGGCCAACTTTATTAGTAGCATCGATCTAACTAAGGGATTTTGGCAAGTGCCAATGGCACCACAGGATCGACACAAAACCGCTTTTCGGACCCAAAGTCGATTGTATGAGTTCTGTGTCCTTCCTTTCGGACTTAAAAATAGCCCAGCCACATTTCAAAGATTAGTGGACAATGTTTTAAGTGGACTGGGGTCTTTCTGTGTGGCCTATATTGATGATATAGGGATTTTTAGCAAGTCTTGGGAAAGTCACCTCGAACATCTGGATTTGGTTCTAAACAGGTTGAGAGAAGCAGGATTAACTGTTAAAGCTTCTAAATGTAGGATAGGGTACAATGTTACCAAGTATTTAGGACATTTAGTGGGAGGAGGTCATATTCGACCTGATCCTACTAAAGTGGCAGTTATTCACCAGTGGCCAGTGCCCAAAACGAAAAAACAGGTTAGGGCATTCCTTGGATTGGCTGGATACTATCGAAAGTTTATCCCATCCTTTAGTAATCTGGCAGCCCCTCTTTCGGACCTTACAAAAAAGAAGAACCCGAACCAGGTAATTTGGAATCCAAATTGTCAAACTGCCATGGATAAATTGAAGGAATCCATTACTTCAGATTCCGTCCTAATGGCACCAGATTTTGACAAGCCTTTCATGTTAACGTGTGATGCCTCAGATACTGGGCTAGGAGCTGTCCTAAGCCAACTCGATATAGAAGGAGAAGACAGACCCATATTGTTTTTAAGTAAAAAATGGCATTCTAACGAGTATAGTATGTCAACTATTGAAAAGGAATGCTATGCCATTATCTGGTCAGTTAAGAAACTTAGACCATACTTATGGGGTAGGAAGTTTATCTTACAAACAGATCACGCTCCATTACGATGGTTGGATAATGTAAAAGGTACGAATAATAAGTTGTTGAGATGGAGTTTGTGTTTGCAGGATTTTGTGTTTGAAATGAAACATGTTTCAGGTAAACGAAATGTAGTTGCGGACGCTTTATCTAGGATTCCATAGTTTGGAGGTTTGTATAAATGTGCAATATAAATGTGTTTAACCATAATGTGTTTCCCTTTCAGGAATGTTATGTATATGTATTTATTGTTGAGTAATGTATGAAGTTATTTTTGCCCTTCTAGGACTAAGAAATGGTGCAAAAATACTTTTCTGGGGGGGAAGGTGTAGAGAAGTGTTTATTATACTGTGTTTCAAACTGTGTTTAGGCTTTACATTGTGGCCAGGGCCTAGCTGAGAGAGAGATAGGTTGCCATGGTGACAAGCCAGAGGAGGTGGGCGGAGCTTAAGTAGAAAAGGTTTGAAAGCGACAGTTTATTTTCAGTCAGGCGGATGAGACCCTGAGGAGAGTAGCAGAGTCAAAGAGGCTCTGTGGAGTAGTGTAAATTCAGTTAGTTCTTAGGTTTTGTGAATATTATTCCAGCTAGGAAGCTGAAGGTGGAAACTCGTTAGATTGCTTGAGTAGAAAAGAATCTAACAAGAAAGGGTTTCAGGGATCCCAGTGGTGAAGATCTGGAGATCGTTGGTTTGATCCGGTGAAGGACAAACAGTTGTAAATATTCACAATAGGGAACACTGAAATAATAAAGTACCTCACTGTAGAAGGAGTTAAAGGATTGTAACATCGGAAGACTTAATGTAACTCAACCAAGCCATTTTGTATCCATCAAGCTGGTGCCAAGTTCAACAGTTTAATTTTGCAACAATTACGCTCTAATAACAATAAACCTATTCTTTTTGTGTTTTAAACTTGCCCCCTTCACTGATTTCCACGTTTGGAGCATTCCACACTACCAAAGGTGCCTCACAACACAGATAGGGATAACCAGAGATCATTTTACCAATATCTCTTATATTAGGGTGGCAATTTAAGCTAGAAGTCTCAAACCATTATTACATCTGTGTGGTGATCCTATTTATTTGGGATTTTACACCATTATTTCATTTTGGAGACTTCCTCACATATTTTGGTGGCAGCAAGTGAACGGTTTTAAATTTTTAGTAACAAGCGGTGGGAGTCGCGGCCTCGCAAGCACCAACCCCCAGAGTGGGACACGACTGGACTTCAGGTCAAGGGGAAACCTTTACACATTCAATTTTCCCAAAAGTCATGCATGTTAACTCCAATATTTAAATAGGATCATTCAAATTTACCGTATGGCCTTGAAAGGTTTTGACTGGACGATCACAGCCAAGTCTGCATACATGTATGCACATGTCAGTACTACAAGACGCAAAAGTAGTGTTGTTCTGCCAGTCTACGTCCAGAGCAGGTGCTGTGAAAGGAAGGGGAACAGAAAAGGGACCATGAGGAAATATTGCAGAGAAACGAATACTTAAAGTGACCTCTGCAATTCTTTAGAATGGTGGGCATGGTGATTCTAAGTGGAATCCATTGCAAGCATTCCTGATGACATAATGCCATAGTTTACAACACTATGTTAATGCAGTAAAAAGCATTCAGTGGAGTTCTCAAAAGGGAAAGCTATCTCACACATACTCCCAGCCCTCAAAAAGCTTTTGCAAAATTGGAAGGAGGGGGAACACATCAGATCCAAAGAAGATCCATTAAGAAACAAGCTGAAAATAGCATCTGCTAAGGATATATAAGAGGAATATTATTGACGAAAAAAAACTCATCTTTTTTTCTTTTTTCTTAAAGTCGTATTAGAATGGAACACACTATAGAACAACAATATAGTAAAAAACAATAAGATCTTTAAGGTCACAAGCGAACAAGGAGAAAAGATTCCACTTTCTGCTTTTCATTCTCAACAGTTATATGTGAAAAAGTGTGCTTTCAAAGTTGGTTGTGGGTTTCAAAGTATCTCAAGAGAATATCCCTTCCTTAATGCTAATCAAGGTGGCCAATTGAAACATTCACACCTACCTCCAACAGACAAGTTCTTTCTCCCACCCTGGACTTTCTCCCACCCACAGATTATATAAACCCAATATCCTTAGTTTCAAACAGACCTCGCAACCTCTGAGGATGCCTGCCATAGATGCAGGTGAAACGTCAGGAGAGAATGCCTCTAGAACATGGCCATACAGCCTGAAAAACCTACAACAACCCATATCCCTTCCTGGTTTTTGTCTATCAAAGCTAGGAAGCAAGACCTTTTCTGGAGTGTGCAGGTGTGTTGGTTACTATTATTACAGTATTATCAAGGTTTTACTGTGTACTGCTCTTTAGGTACTAGTTGGTTTTTCTTCCGAGAGAAAATTCTATAGGAAATAATCACAGCAGAATTTCCTAAATTTAATTAATTAGCATTCTAATTGCTTGTGCTACTTTTTAAACTTTTGACAACATTTAACAAGAATGAAGATGGAAAAAAGTTCACTGAAAGCTAATTACCTGAGTGGAAAGGAAACTGCTGTTTGGCTTCCCCTGTGTGAGCATCCCAGATTATTGTGGTCTACATTGATCCAGAGAGGAAGACAAATGGGATAAAACAAATAAACAAACACCACAGTGAGCATTCACTTTTGAACCAAAAATAAGATTTGTTAGGATACACAAACTTAACAGGATTACTTCCCCTTTAGGAAAAAAATTGCCATCTCTAATCACATGAGAGGTAGAAGAATGGGAAAAAAACTTTGTAGTAACTTGCTACTCATTTTTAATGTAATTTCAAGACCTTAGTGGTGAAGATTACCTTCAATCAACAGAAGTTTGGGCTTAGTGGATCTTAATATATTATGGAAATAGAATAACCAGTAATAGACATTGCAACATATTCAATGTATGGGGAAAAGCATAGCAGTATAATAGCTTGAAGGCTGGACTTGGAGACCAGAATTCAAATCTCCACTCACCATAGAAACCCACCGGGCAAGTCACACTCTCTTAATCTAAGCGGGGAGGGGGGGGGGGGCAAATGAAAGCTTTGCTAAACTTTCAATCTAAGTGTTTGCTACTAATGGTTTTTTAAATTTAAACTTTCAAGAACTCACAAACTTTATAGCAAATAGAAGACTGTTCAAGAGTTTACAAGACAGACTGCATTGCACAAATGTACCATCTCTTAAGGCAGCAAACAATTGCTCTGAGTGAATCAAGACCTTTTTGAAAACACTCTTAAAGGACCAGAAAGGAAATTCTGCTGAGTTCCTCAGAGCAATTCCTGAGCGAAAAAGTACCAAGTTAAAAGTTCTCTGAGTATTTAATGATGTATGCCTGCGAGTTGTGCATCTCAACACTTACTTTATCAACACCAGCACTTAAAATATAATTTCCCTTTTTGTTCCATTTCAGAGCAAATATAGGCCCTTTATGTTGACCTAAGGTGCTTGCCAGATTTCCTGAAATAGATGTAAAGGGGGGAAAAAATCAATGTTTCAAATATTTCAAATTGAAATATTTCTGCACGATGAAGCATTATAATTATTTGGAAATAACAACTGCTCGGTCTTACCATCTTCTGTCCATATTCTTGCAAAGCCGTCATATGAGCCTGTAGCCAGTAGTGTTCCATCGCTCTGGAGAATGTGAAGAAAGGAAAGAAGATACATTTTTGATAAAACAGAAAAACTACAGAGGCAGCTCTGACTCATCAATTCAGTCATCAACTATATGTAAGGAAAATGAGGTTCTCCACTGAGCAAGAACAAGTACCATAATAATACATTTTAATAAATTTTATTTATATCTCACTCCCTCTCCCCGAAGGGACTCGAGGCAGCTTACAACAAGCATTACCCAAATACACCAAAAAATTGTACACTTGGCCAGCCTTGTGAGGAAGCCATAATGGCATAGTGGTTTGAGTGTTAGTCTAGGAGCCCAGGGGACCATGGTTTGGATTTTTACTCAGTCACTGAAACCCACTGTGTGACCTTGGACATGTCATACTTTAGCTTACATTTTTGAGACACTCCCATGGTGAAGAATGGGGGGAGCAATGGCCCTATGTCTGCAAGACCTGAGCAGGGTTGTTGCAGGTGATTTGGAGGTCTCTCAGACATAGAGGAGCAGGCATGAGTCACAAAAGTCAATTTGAAGAAAATTAACAATAAATTTGGTTTGAGTGATGGACTAGGACTAGGTCTTGAATCCTTGCTCAGCCATGAAAACTCACTGGGTAACCTTGGGCATCCCACACACTGCCTTTTAGGAAGGTAATGGAAAATCTCCTCTTAATTAACTTTGCAAAAAGAAAAGTAAAGAAGTGAGCAATCAAACTATTACAGGGTTTCCATAAGTCAGCGTTGACATGAACATATATGGACAGAAGAGGAGTGACATGATAGTCACAGGACAGGCAGTGTTGCATTGATCTTGGATCCTTTTCTGCCATTTGTGTTTGATCAGATGCTTTATTGGGTTTTGGATATATTTTTAAAAAGGTATATAAGGATAATGGGACCTCGACTGGGTCTGACTGGCAGCATAACTATTCAACTAAAACAAGTTAGAGTTAGCTTTGACTAATTTAAATTCAACCTATTTCAAAAGGTCATACTTTGAAGTATGGTTTAATTTCTGGATTCAGTCCATTATTATTACACACTCAGTCAATTTCTGAGATGATGCTGTTTAAAATATCTACTGAAAAGACTGTAGAACATCCTCCCCTCAAGGGCCTGGGAGAAACCAGCACTGGCATCATTTCAACACTTATGTTTAAAAATGGCTGTTTATCAAAGCCTTTGGGGTCTAGCAGCTTAGCCCAAATCTATAAGCACATGGTTTTAAAACTGTTACAATCTGTTCAAAATTCTGTACATTATTTACTAAGCTTTTACAGTATTTAAATTATTTCTTACATTTTAAATGGTTTTAATTTATTTAATCAGTGCACTGCTCTGAGATTGTAGAAGATACAGTATAAATATTTTAATGATAAATAAACACTTTTAAAAGAATACAGGAGACATCCTTCACTGAATTATAAGTAGGAAGTAACAGTTGCTTCTGGGTAGAGATTGGCTCCTAAACGAAATGATTACCAAAAGTATTTAGGAGAGAAATATAGATGTAGACTTCCCAGTCCTTGCATGCAAGAGAGCCAGATTCCCCCCCCCCCCCCCATGTTATGATCAACTTGAGAAACTGCAAGTTGCTTTTTGTGTGAGAGAATTGGCCGGCTGCAAGGATATTGCCCAGGGGATGCCCGGATGTTTTGATGTTTTACCATGCTTGTGGGAGGCTTCTCTCATGTCCCCGTATGGGAGCTGGAGCTGACAGAGGGAGCTCATCTGCACTGATCCCAGATTCAAACCTTTGACTTGCTGGCCTTCAGTCCTGCCGGCACAAGGATTTAACCCATTGTGCCACTGGGGGCTTCTAAGAGAGCCAATGTGAACATAGGACTATGACTCTGGAGACCAGAGTTTGAGTCCCTGTTCAGCTATGGAGCTCACTGTGTGACCCTGGGAAAGTCACACCATCTCAGCCTTAGAAATCCCTTTGGTAGATTCATTTTTGAGTCACCATCAATTTAAATGACTTTAACAGGCTCAATAACAACATTAACATTTCAACTCCTTCCCTGGGATTAAGATTAGAGAGCAGCCTTCTTTTTTCCTAATAAGCCAATGGAAACATTTTTGAAAGATGGAAACCATTTATATATTTTTCAAGTAGTACAAAAATCTATCAATCTAATAATCTGTGGTAACAATTATTAGCAATTTTAGTAGGATTATTTAGTTGGATTTGTAATGGTAGAAATGTTCTTTCTTTTCATTGCAGTCAGGATGGGCTGGGAAGTCACAGACTATGTATATTTTATATCTCCCCTCCTCTTTCCTTTCCCCTCTTTCCTCCTGTTTTTTTCTCTTTGTCTTCTTCCTTGTTTTTGGAATATATATTACTTTATATTGAAAATTAGATTGTTTATGTAAAAATTTAACACAATAAGAAATCTAAGGATGGAATAATATGTGGTTATGGTTATTAGTAATTTTAGTAGGGCAATTTAGTTGGATATGTAATGGTAGAATAATATATATTTTTCATTAGAGTCAGGATGGAGTGGGAGATCACAGCCCGACTGTGCATTAGTTATTTATCTTCCCCACTTTCTTTCTCCTCTTTTCTTCTCTCTTTCCCCCTCTTTTTCTTTATTTTTAGAATGTATACTCCTTTGATTGCAAATGTGATTGTATTAACAATAATTAATAAAAATATCAAGAAAGCAGCTTTGCTGCAGCCACTTACTTACTTACTTACTTAGGCGATCCCTCGTTGGACGAGTAAGATGGTCTTCCATTATGGATTTCCTTGTGGGTCCGTATGTGGCTGTGGAGCCCTATTCTTGCTCTGCATCTTCTTCCGCAGTGAGGGCATTAGTTTCCAGGTGGAAGGCGGTCCCGGTCGGGGTTGGCTTGACGCGCCTTCCTCCTGGCACGTTTCTCTCTTTCACCCTTCACTCGTGCCTCCTCAAATTCTGCAGCACTGCTGGTCACAGCTGTCCTCCAGCTGGAGCGCTCAAGGGCCAGGGCTTCCCAGTTCTCAGTGTCTATGCCAGAGTTTTTAAGGTTGGCTTTGAGCCCATCTTTAAATCTCTTTTCCTGTCCACCAACGTTCCGTTTTCTGTTCTTAAGTTCGGAGTAGAGCAACTGCTTTGGGAGACGGTGGTCAGGCATCCGGACAACGTGGCCGGCCCAGCGGAGTTGATGTTGGAGGACCATCGCTTCAATGCTGGTGGTCTTTGCTTCTTCCAGCACACTGACGTTTGTCCGCTTGTCTTCCCAGGAGATTTGCAGGATTTTCTGGAGGCAGCGCTGATGGAAACGTTCCAGAAGCTGCATGTGACGTCTGTAGACAGTCCACGTCTCACAGGCATATAGCAGGGTTGGGAGGACAATAGCTTTATAAACAAGCACCTTGGTATCCCTACGGATGTCCCGGTCCTCAAACACTCTCTGCTTCATTCTGGAAAATGCTGCACTTGCAGAGCTCAGGCGGTGTTGTATTTCGGCGTCGATGTTGACTGTGGTGGAGAGGTGGCTGCCAAGGTAGCGGAAATGGTCCACATTTTCTAATGTTACACCATTAAGCTGTATTCTGGCATTGGAGAGGGATTGGCTGGTGACTGCTGGAACAGCACCTTGGTTTTCTCAATGTTCAGTGACAGGCCGAGCTTCTCATATGCTTCTGCGAAGGTGTTTAGAGTGGCTTGTAGATCTTCTTCTGAATGCGCACAGACGACATTGTCATCAGCATACTGGAGTTCTATAACAGCTGTTGTTGTAACCTTGGTTTTGGCTTTCAGTCTGCTGAGGTTGAATAGCTTGCCATCTGTCCGATAGATGATTTCCACTCCGGTGGGAAGCTTCCCATCAACAAGGTGAAGTATCATAGCGATGAAGATGGAGAATAAAGTTGGGGCAATAACACATCCCTGTTTGACACCTGATTCCACCTTAAATGGGTCACTTTGGGAGCCATTGCTGTCCAAGACTGTTGCCATCATGTCATCATGGAGGAGCCGCAGGATGTTCACAAATTTGTTTGGGCACCCGATTTTGTGGAGGATGGTCCAGAGAGCGCTGCGATTCACTGTGTCGAATGCCTTTGCAAGGTCGATGAATGCCATGTACAGAGGTTGGTTTTGTTCTCTGCATTTTTCTTGGAGCTGTCTTGCAGTGAAGATCATGTCCACTGTTCCTCTGGAGGGTCGGAAGCCATTCTGGGATTCTGGAAGGGTGTTTTCTGAGAGAGGCAGAAGGCGGTTTGCAAGGATTCTTGCGAGGATTTTCCCAGCGGAGGTTAGAAGGGAGATACCTCGATAGTTTCCGCAGTCTGTTCTTTCCCCTTTTTTGAAGAGGGTGATGATGGTGGCGTCCTTGAAATCTGCTGGGATTTTCTCGGTCACCCACACTTTTTCTATGAGCTGGTGGAGTTGGTGTGTCAGCTCAGGTCCTCCCTCTTTAAGGATTTCAGCAGGGATTCCATCCGGTCCGCTGGCTTTGTTATTCTTTTGTTGGCTGATGGCATTGCTGACTTCTTCCAAACTAGGCAGTGCTGCAAGCTCATCCCTGGTTTGTTGTTGCGGGATTTGTGAGAGGACCTCTTCGGCCACATTGGAGCTGCGGTTCAGGAGGCTTTGGTAGTGTTCTTTCCAACGTAGTGCAATTGAGTTTTGGTCCTTCAGGAGTTTGGTTCCATCTGATGAGCGTAGAGGCTGTATGCCATGGTTTCTTGGTCCGTAGATGACCTTTGTGGCTTTGAAGAATCCCTGAGCATCATGGGTATCTGCCAGGTGTTGGATTTCTTCAGCCTTCTTTGTCCACCAGATGTTCTTGAGTTCTCTTGTCCTTCTTTGGACCTCAGCTTTTGCACTGGCATAGATCTTTTTCTTAGCAGCACAGTTGATGTCTCTCTGCCATGCTTGGAAGGCTTTCCTTTTCTTGTCAATTAGCTGTTGGATCTCGATGTCATTTTCATCAAACCAGTCTTGATGTTTCTTGGCTTGGTATCCAATAGTTTCTTCGCAGGCTTGGATGATGGAGGTCTTCAGTTTGTTCCAATGTTCCTCGACATTTTCGGGGTGTACTGTGGGTAGATGGTCCTTGAGTGCTGTTTGGAGATGGGCTCGTCTGGAGGGCTCCTGAAGGGCTTGGGTGTTCATTTTGCGCCTTGTCTTCCTTCCTTGGAGTCTGCGCTTGGGGGCAATCTTGAGAGCCATCGAGGATCGAATTAGCCTGTGGTCAGTCCAGCAGTCGTCAGCACCTGTCATGGCTCTTGTGAGGAGCACATCACGGCGGTCTCTGGCGCGTGTGATTACATAGTCTAAGAGGTGCCAATGCTTTGACCGGGGGTGCTTCCATGATGTCTTGAACTTGTTTTTCTGGCGGAAGAGCGTGTTGGTGATGACAAGGTTGTGCTCCGCACATTTGGTGAGAAGCAGGATGCCATTTGAGTTTCTGTTTCCAACCCCGTCTTTTCCGATGGTCCCTGGCCACAGGTCGAAGTCTCGCCCGACTCTTGCATTAAAGTCCCCCAGGAGGATGATTTTGTCCTCCTTAGGTATCCCCGATAGGACGGTGTCCAGCTGACAGTAGAATTTCTCCTTGATGTCTTCGTCAGCATCTAGTGTTGGTGCATAGGCACTTATGATGGTTGCCCGTTGGTTTTTGGCAAGATCGATTCGGAGGGTTGAGAGTCGTTCGTTGATGCCAGTGGGTGCTTCGGACAGATGTTTCATCAGATCATTCCTGATGGCAAAGCCAACTCCGTGCATTCTTTGGTCTTTTTCGGGCAGTCCCTTCCAGAAGAAGGTGTAGCCTCCTTTTTCTTCCTTCAGCTGTCCCTCTCCTGCTCTCCGGGTCTCCTGAAGGGCTGCTATGTCGATGTTGAAGCGTCCCAGCTCCCTTGCAATGATGGCAGTTCTGCGTTCGGGGCGTTCACTGCCACTGTTGTCCATCAGAGTCCATACGTTCCACGTACCGAAGTTCATTTTCCTTTTTTGGCCGCAGGGTGGTGACCCCACTGGACGCGGCAGTCCAGTCAGGGATAAGTGAGGCAGACTATGTTTAGGGCACCTTTTCTAGCCCCCTCCCCATGTGGGGTGAGCAGAGTGGGTCCTCAAAGGGCTGCTCAGTCGCGGATACAGCTGCCGAACTACTCAACTGCCTCGGACCTTGAGGTAGAACGACTGAGTCCGTACCCACCGCCCATGTGCCAGTCTGTGACTAGGGGCTTCCAGATTTCACAGTCCTGCCCCCGTCGCCACTCGCTGATCGCCATGGGACTTTGGTTGCTTGGTTTTTGTTTTCTTTGGAAGACGCCTGTGCGTGGGTTTTTTTTTATTGTGTGGAGGTCAGTGCACAACTGATCAACACACAGACTTCACAGAGTGAGGTTCCACTGGTGATGTAGTTTAACACAATGACCGTGGCTTCTCAGTCTGTTGCAGCCTTCTTCCGCCTTCGCAGCCGTTGTAACATGTGCCATGTTATCCTCCGCCTGCTCCGCCGTTGAGGTCTTTGGGTCTTCGGACTGTGCTTGGTCTGGAACCTCCCCCGCGGCCACTCCTGGGAGTGCACGACTCCAGTTGTTGTGCCTACAGGTTCATTGGAACGCGCAAGCCCCCTCACCACGACAAGGTGACAGTCACTGAAATGCAGAGTATAGTATAGTAAGAGAGGAGCTAACGGCATTCTTATGCATAAGATGCAGCACAGCATAGAGAAGAGAGGAGCATCAGTACAAGTGGCATTTTAAGAGATAACAGGACACAAACTGCATTTTCACTGCAATGGGAAGTGGCTGATACGATATTGCAAAGGAAAAATGATTTATTTTCAGATGCTAACAAAAATTGTAAAAAGGGGGCATGTTTCATTTTACAGATATAAATCTCTTTGTTTTAGTTGACTTTTTCTTAGTGATGTCTCATGTCTTTTATTGAAGATCAGGCAAAGCAGAGAATTCTGTGCCATCCTTTGCAACAAAAGTTCCCTTAAATGACTTTTCTTTGCCTTAAAAATGAAATAGAAACCTTTCCTGCATAGCCACATGAAAAATACCTCTGGTTGCTGAACAAAATATTTCTCCTTCTCCCAGTTAAGTTTGCAATTGTATTTAATGAACTATTGAATGCTTGGTATGTAAAATAAAGGCTTCAGTTATTGCATTTTACAGCAAGCCTTTTCTAGCACACCAGCTATGTTTCGAAGCCTCTTCTCTTTCTTATTTTAACAATACATTTGCCAGGCCCTAGTTTAAGACAGATTAGAAAAAGCATTGTTTAGCACGGCCTTACCGTTACTACACCGTTGCCTCAAAACCACTTGGCAATGAGAGCGACTACTTTCACGAAACCCTCTTATAGTGCAGAGGCAACAGGGATATCAGGAGGGGACAGGCTGACTACCCATGAAAGATTACTACTACCACATCAGCTCTAGATTATTAAATATGGTTTTCTGTGGGCGAGCAGATGGCGACTACTGGGTGGCATATGCTCTGTATCAGAAACTAGATCTGATGTGGTCTATCCAATGCAATTTTCTGAATGAGCATCCCAAATAACCAACCCGAATTTAAAGTTGACCAAAAATGGATTAGTAACCCTTTTGGTACTAATGTTGGAGAGTAGTTCCTGGTCAACGTGGTCAAAAAAAGGTTGGGAACCACTGATTTAGCAAGAAGAAAAAACATATTTACTATTTCCTAGATTGAAAACAGCAGGCATTTTGTGTGAAGGTAGGATGATGCATCTAGGCTTTCCCCACTCTGAAATAAATGGTGCCTGTTTTCTATAGGTTTCTCATATTTATTTATATTTATTTCCTTCATTTCTACCTCGCCCTTCTCCCACATGGGGACTCAGGGCGGCTTATATGTGTAATAAAAAGCATTTGTACTTCTATACCAAGCTCACTAGGAACATATGCAGTATACATATCGAGAGAGAGGGAGAGAAGAAGGGAGGGAAGGAGGGAGAGAGGAAGGGATGGAGAGGGAGACTAATTATTATTTATCAACAGCAAAGAGATATTACTAATTTTGGTTACTTATTAATGTCTCAGTAACTGCCTGATAATGATATGTATCTGATGCATCTTAAGACTTGAACTAATGTTTATGTTTGGAACACCACAGGAAGAACCATGATGATAGTGTGTTTTAGCTTCCCTTTGGGTTTTGACACACAATCTCTCTTTCCAACTGTTAGCTGACCCAACATTTTAGAATATTCTTTGCTCGTATTTTTTTAACCCCACTGTTGCTGCACTGTTTTTGATGTACCATCTTACTTTTCTTCTATAGCAGTGTTTTCCAACCTTTGGTCCTCCAGGTGTTTTGGATTTCAGCTTGCACAATTCCTAACAGCTGGTAAACTGGCTAAGATTTCTGAGAGCTGAAGTTCAAGACAAATGGGGGACCAAAGGTTGGGAAACACTGTTCTATATACATGAAGACCCCAACTTGCTTCCTTTCAGACAGGTTGAACTACAACTTCCAGAATTCTCCAGCAAACATCACTAGCTTAGGGATTCTGGAAGTTATAGTCCACAACATCTCAAGGATATCTATAATCCTATTCTGGGAAAAAGGTTGGATATGAATTCATTCCCCCATTCAATCAGTCAGTAGTAAACTGAGGAAGACTCTGCAGTATACAATTAAACAGAAAAGTAAAGCATCCCTGAACAAATTGAGTACCTCCAGCATCCTATAAATGGGAAATAAAAAAAGAAAGGAAGAATAAGAACAGATTTAAATATAGTTCCTAGACAACTTAAAGAGTTTAAGCAGTTCACTTACATTCCAGTCCAATGACGTTACATCCTTATTGCTGGGGACATCATGCCCTCCTTCTCTTATACAGTGTCTCAAAACTAATTGAGTGGAGCTACCATTGCTATTTTCATTAAGATTCCATATTCTGGCAGTAGAATCTCCAGATCTGAGGAGTGGAAATGTTAAAAGTGTTTTATGTACTATGAATGTTACATAGCTTATATATAACAATAGATAGTTCTTTTTCTTTCAAAGTTTTGTAAATCATGCTGTGAATGCAATACAGAACATAAAACTACTGGGACAGTTCTTTACCAATTAACAGTCATTTACCATACAGGAAGATAGATGCTTTTGAACTGTGGTACTGCAGGAAAGTTCTGAGAGTGCCTTGGACCACCAGAAGATCCAAACAATCCATACTTCAGGAAATAAAGCCTGACTGCTAATTGGAGGGAAGGATGGTAGAGGCCAAGACAAAGTACTTTGGCCACATCATGAGATGAAAGGAAAGCTTAGAGAAGACAATGATGCTGGGGAAAATGGAAGAAAAAAGGAAGAGGGGGAAAAAGGAAGAGGGGCTCTGGCGTGGGCTGGTCCATGACGCCACGAAGAGTCGGAAACGACTGAACAAATGAACAACAACAACACCATACACTGTATATCTTCACTTCTACAATGCAATCAGCACCACCACATTTGTGGGTTTGATGTTTGCGGATTTGATTGCTTATGGATTCGATTAAAAGGTTCTGCCTTGGAACACTGAGAACAGGGGCGTCAAACTCCTTTTCATCAAGGGTCACATCAACCTTATGGTTGCAGTCACTGAATATGGGAATGGAGAATCCATGGATACAGAGTGCCAAATATATATGTTTTTCTCTAGTGGTCAGTGCTCTTTTGTTTGTACCCAATTTGGGTCCGCAAATGTTATTGAATGGCAACTCCCATCAATTTTGATTATCCATCATGTCGAATGGGGATGATGGGAATTTCAACCCAACAGCCCTTCTGGCTCTGAGGTTGGGGAAAGGTTGAAGGACTGTCAGACATCATCCCCACAAGCCTTGTAGTCCAGCATCTGGAGGGATATATAAAATGACATTGAGGGCCAGATTTCGCCCACAGGCCTTGAGTTTGACACATGTGGTTTAGATACACCAGTAACATCCACTGGAAGTTGATCACAGAGTCATGCTGGAGGAACTAGAGATTTATAGAGAGAACACTCCTTTAAGAATCTCTAATTACTCCAGTGCTGGAGGAACCCTAACCCTAACCCAGACCTATCTGAAAAGATATTCTCTCTGATTAAAAAAAAGTTATTTGCAGCTTTTCTCTTTTGCGGGATCAGATAACAAGTGCTAGGAAAGGCTCTGAAGAGTTCTTCTAATCAGAGTAGATTATATGAGCAAGATGGAGAAATGTGTATCATGTGTGTTTATGCCATTACCTGTGATGGCTTTGATAATTCAATACATTTGGAAGGTACTCAGCTGGGGAAAGCAGCTGAATGCAGTAACGGCACAGTGGGAGCACAGCAGTGTTGCAGTACTTGTGTTTCTCACACAGTACTGAATTAAGAGGCCCCGAACATTGGACTTACCCCGATGCTAGTAGGTCACTGACAGGATTCCAGGCACAAATGAACACTTCTGACTCATGACCCCGGAGGACTGTTGCTTTGTTAGGAGGAATTTCAACATCCCCATCAATTTCCATCGGCTTTGAATGATTATCTGGAAGATATCACCATTTATTTATTGGATGATTATTTAAATATAAATATTGACAAATAAACAGGACCCATTCTACGAAATGGCAGCTCTTTGGTGTATATTTTGGTGTCATTTGTGGCTCATGCTGAACACAGCCATATGTTTTTGCAAAATATTACTCCTGCCAAGACTAGAGCCAAAATCTGCAACAAATCTAGTCGCATTTACTTACAGACTTATTTGGTGAGGCACTGCAGCTTGGAAAAAAATATGACCATAAGACCTTGGTTCTCAGGTAATTAAGGAAGATAAGATGGGATTTTTCAACTGATAAACTCTTTATATACAGCCATACATACTTTGGTGTTGCTGATATAGATTGTTAAAGCAGTTGACAAGGAGAATATATGGCCCATACATAAAGCACACCTTTCACCTCTGTTTACCCATGGGGTAGAGAGGGACTTCTCCTTTTGCTAATAACACATTGTCTGTGGTGAACTACAGCGCAGAGTATTGGGACAGATATCCTGCAAAGATTCTCGAACCTTATTGAGATTAGAGGCATGGACGATACTTTCATCCAAGACTACTGCACAAAGTATAAGGGCTGAGGCAAAGGCATTATAATTGGGAATTATAACCTGGGACTGTATCTGATAAAAAAAAGGGAGGCAGCATGGAGGACTCCTTGACTTTGTGTACAAGAGATTCCACCTGAACATTAGACAGAACTCCCTAACTGTGAAAGCAGTTGAGCAGTGGAACTCTCTGCCCTGGAGTGTGGTGGAGGCTCCTTCTTTGGAATGGAGAAACTAGATGGCCATCTGTCGGGGTGCTTTGAATGTAATTTCCCTGCTTCTTGGCAGGGGGTTGGACTGGACAGCCTGTTCCGTTTTCCAGGAGCTTGGTTTGCTTTGCCCTTTAGTTGCATAAAATAACATCCCTTTGTATTTTCCCCAGGGTTGCAGCAGCACCCTGAAAGTTAATTATTAACAGAGGTTGGAAGCCAGCCTGCAAGGACTTGCACTTATTGGTTTAAAAAGGTATCCTTTTGGTCTAGAGACTGCCCTTTTTCCTGGGGATGAGATCTCCATTTTGGAAAGCCCTCCTGCTTTCTTTAATATAGAAAAAGCCTCAGATGTGCTGGTGACCAGCTAGGCAAGCTCGGACAAGTCATTGTGAGTAAAATTGAGATTGAGATTAGGGTCGAGGTTACCCTCTCGCCTTTGAAACTGGCATTGAGCTCAGATAGAGAAAGACCTGCACTTTCTAGAAGACAGTAGCTCATTGCTGGGGTAGGGAATATCTCCGGATTTCTCTGCCATTGAGAAAGGCTCCATTACTTCATCTCCAAAACTAATCTTGAGCTTAGATAGGGGAAGACCTGCTCTTTCTGAAAGATAACAGCTTAGGGTTAGGGTAAAAGATCCCAGGATTTTTTTCTACCATTGGAGATAAGTTAACTCGGTAACTGAAGGAAAAAGGAAAGAAAGAACATCTATATGGTTTCCCAACTGACTGTTTGTGTTTGTAACTTCATCAAGCTGTGCCAAGTCTGCCAAGGACTTTGTAAAATAAATGTTCTGTTGATGTTCAATTCTTGACTGGCCTCAGTTGCTGAGAATCTGGAGCTTCAAAGAAAGGCACCCGCGGTTTGCCCAGATAAAGAGAGAAGCACATCTTAGATTTAACTTTATAGTGTCTGGGTGTGACGGCCCATGGCCCACAAGGTCTCTCCCAACTCTATGATTCTATGACTTTGCCATGCTGAGTTTTTGCTTAGTGTAGTTTTATGGCATATGTAGAGAAGAACAAAGTGGAATCTCATGATGGTATTGAGGACAAAGGTGAAACTGAAGCAGTCATAATAAAAATTAACCAATAATAATCCCACTCTAAAGAGAGAGAGTAAAAAGCTGATGTTTTGAGAGCTAACAGTCACTATGAGCATTAGTGCATCAAGCAACCCCTTAGCACTCATGTGAAATGGTATTTGAACTTACTTATTGCATGCGCCCCATTCTCCTCTCCATTCACAGTGGCTTCTCCGTTCTTTGGTGTATTCTGCTGAGGGACAGCATTTGTCGTTGCAGTTGTCGTGGTTGCTGTAGCAGCAGCTGCTGTCACTATGGCTGGTGCGGCACTAGCTTGCTGTTGAGCTAACTTCTCCTTGAAAGCCTGCTGCCGGGTCTGCACTACATCAGGCATTACGGCGTCTATCAGCGACAGTGATTCTATAGGTCTGCCATCAAACACTGTACCATCCTAAATGGTAAAAAGACAGAAAAAGAAAAGAAAAGGGGAAAAAAATCAGATTGGAGTTATCCACTTTTTCAGTCAATGCTACAATTTGTTCTTGGAAAATTCCCTTCCTCCACTTTTATGCAGAAGAAAACGAGGCAACAAAAATCTGGGTCAGAGCAAGTAAAAATAACCGAAGAGTAAGCAATTTCACAGTTGCTAAATAAACAATCCACAGCTTCCTGTTTCGATGGGCTTCCAGCTGCTAGTTGCAGCAGGCAGCGCTGTTGAATGTTTCGCTCCTGATAGAGCTGATTATGATTACTGACTGCAGATATTGAGGTCATACCAGGAACTACTGTTTGTATAATACAAATAACTAACCAATGCAGAAACATGAAGAACTATAAAGCAAAATGTCTACACATCTACAAAACATCTCAGGCCCCATCTACACCGCCATATAAAATTCATTCTATCTGCTTTGAACTGGATTATATGGCAGTCTGGACTCACAAAGGCCCCTCATCAAAGCTGGCATACTGACAGGGTTAGCAAAGTTGAGTACATTGTGGGTTCACGTTTTTTCAAAGTGAATCCACAATATCATTTAATCCAATATTCTTCAACCAACAAAGTTATCCAAATGTAAATTAATTCCCAAATCCTTCAACACAATCCCCAAATGTAAATTTTAAATTAAGGGCGTTTCGCACAATTGTTCTAAGCATAGTGATGGGTCATGCAGGTACGCGAGCTCCATGTAGATGAGTCAGAGATTTTTCATGTGCTCATAAGATACTCTTTTCTCAAAGCATGTGATTATGTAACATATGATCCAACCTCTCCTTTTGGGATTCATCTGACATCACCATATCCAGAGAAAGATGCATTAGCTTCACTTCAAAGTCATGTAAATCTGCCTGAAATTGCTACTAATTATATATACACACATGTATTTTTCTGTTTGTTAATTGCTTCAATAAATATATACAGTCAAGCTTCTACATTCACCAAGATTTGGGGCACAGGACACTCATAAAGGTGGAAAACCCATAAATTAAGAAAATATCTTTTTTTTTTTTTACTGAGAACACTTGTTTAGGAATCTCTAGGTGCTTCAGCATGAAGTTACAGTGAACTCCTGGAAAGTGGACTATAAAATGACTGGAGGATATAGATTCCTAGAGATAACATTTTAATTAAATCCAGGAATAATCAACTCCACAAAAATCAAACCTGTAAATCTGAAGGGCTTTTTGTATATCTTCGGAGAATAACTGTAGCGTTCTTAACAAAACTGGGAGAAGTGCTGTTAGCTTGCTGTTTTGATCACCTGCTAACATATGCCGTACATATAAGTTTAGCGCAAGAGAAGGTGGTTGGTAGCCCTGGTTAATAAGTTTCTGTAGCAACCTAGATAGCATGTTGTGATTAGAATGGGCATGATACAAATCGGAAGACAGAGGGAAATGTAAAATTATATAATAGAATCATGACCTCGTGGGCCATCCAGTCCAACCCCCTGCCAAGAAGCAGGAATATTGCATTCAAAGCACCCTTGACAGATGGCCATCCAGCCTCTGTTTAAAAGCTTCCAAAGAAAGAGCCTCCACCACACTCCAGGGCAGAGAGTTCCACTGCTGAACAGCTCTCACAGTTAGGAAGTTCTTCCTCATGTTCAGGTGGAATCTTCTTTCCTGTAGTTTGAAGCCATTGTTCCACGTCCTAGTCTACAGGGCAGCAGAAAACAAATCTGCTCCTTCCTCCCTATGACTTCCCCTTACATATTTATACATGGCCATCATGTCTCCTCTCAGCCTTCTCTAAAGGCTGAGAGGAGACTAAACATGCCCAGCTCTTTAAGTCGCTCCTAATAGGGCTTGTTCTTCAGACCCCTGATCATTTTAGTCGCCCTCCTCTGTACACATTCCAGCTTGTCAGCATCTCTCTTAAATCGTGGTGCCCAGAATTGGCCACACTAATCCAGGTGTGGTCTGACTAAGGCGGAATAGAGGGTTAGCATGATCTAGAAACTATACTCCTATTTATGCAGGCCAAAATCCCATTGGCTTTTTTAGCTGCCACATCACATTGTTGACTCATGCTTAACTTGTAGTTCACGAGGACTCCAAGTTATATAGTTTTTGTTGGATCCTATGTTTATATCAGAAATAAAAATAATTAAATCATTGGACAAGGGAGGAAACACATTTTTTTCAAAAATGCGAAGGCATGAAATAATAAAGATACAGTGGAATTTGCAGCCTATGGAGGTACACAAAGGAACAAGACTCAATCTGTTTGCTGTATATCACTGGAAATAAATATATAAATAAATAAATAAATAAATAAATAAATAGATGCTTTACTCTAAAGTAGACACAACATCCTTGTTGGGTGTCAAACACAGCCTTACATATACTCAAATTAGGTGTTGTTTTCCACCTAAAGCTGCAGTAATACCAACCTCGTTGATGCTTATCTCTGCTTCCACATACTGCAGGCCTTTCTGAAGTATGGAGATGAGGGCAGCAGGTGGCACTAGTGTTCCATTGATGTTGGACTGGCTAATATGACTCTCTATTCCAAATGTAAAGGCTGAGTGGGAGAAACCTGAAAGCAAAAAGAGAAGCCATGGCAGGAAATCCAAGCATTCTGCAATGTGACACATACCCTAAATACTTCGCTGTCCCTGTGCCAAACCAACCAAAGAGATCAATTTGCCATATTAGGCTGGATGGTTACAAAGAATTGCAACTATCTCTTCCAAACAATCATTTGCCAACATGTTTTTCTGAATATGTCCCTTTGAAAAAGAACAGTCAGCATTATGCAAAAAGATTTGTGTGATTTTGGTGTGCACATTTTACAAAACTATGGCTCAGTGCTGAGATCTTTTGCAAGACCTAGACTTCATTTCTCTTCAAAAAGGTAGTCACAATTCACTGCTTCACACAGGGGAACAATTCCAGTGCAGGAAAAGAATGACATCTTTTCAACCCTCTCCCTCCAGATTTTGCAGCTAAATCTAACATACCAAAATAACTAACAGGAAGTGAAAATCAGCCAACTGAAAAAGGGAGAAAAGACAAGTCAACCTCTACTGTACTATACCCAAATGGCCCAAGGCCTCTGCCAACAAGCTACCAAATGCTCAACCATTGTTAAACATTTAAGAATGGGCTGCTTATATGGTTTCTCACCAACCCTTGTCCCTCCTACTCATTTCCTTCTTTGTGAATGCATGAATGAGGCTTATGATAGTTTTGGAAAGAAACAGCAAGACATTCATATCAGGCAGATGGAAAATGGTGCATGTGGATTGGGTATGTTCAATATGCAGTACACCACAAGAGAAAATTCATGTGGTACATGAAGACCACTGTCCTCTCATGCATGTTCTCCAACTGACCAACTTATAAATTCATCTGCCACTGTGATTATAATCAGATGAGAGAGCCATACTGACCCTAGCAAACTGAAGACATGCATGTTCTCCAATAACCCATGCATGTTCTCCAACTGTCCTGATTAAATCCGTCCTCCCACTGTCATTGCTTCCAAAATGCCCTAGTTTTTCTCTCCTTCTTTTATTCTCCCCTTTTCCCTCCCAACTTACTTCAGTTGCTCCGACTGATATCAAACTACAAAAGTAGCTTGCATTGAATTAAATCTGTGAGTGGGAGAGGAAAAAAGAAGACAAATCTTGCTCTTAATAACAGGCTTCTGTAAAAGCAAATTGTTACAGCCTCTGCAAGCTTTTCCTCACTAGTGACTTTTGCCATCTTTTCTGCACTCCAATGTTGTCTGGGCACACTTGTCCCAATTTTCACGTGAGAAATGTAGGAGGGCATGCTTGTGACAGCCCAAAATTTGTTCTGGACAGTCCCAAAATCATTCCAAAACATATTCTGAGGGTTCTCAGAGGGACGCACCGCTCACTCATTCAATAAAAGGGAACCATTCCATGACAGAGAGGGGTTGACTGGCCACAAGCCATGGCCCAAAGAAAGTGAAAGGTTATCCTTCTAGAAACCATGAAAATATCAAAGGGCATAAAAGGGCAAGGGAAATGAATGACCATGTTAGTAGAGGAAGCAGGTTAGGAAACAGTTAAGCTGATATCTCTGATCAACCCATTATTTCCATTACATCAAAGCAAAACTTTTCAAAGGGCTGATTATGAATTCATCTGCCACTGTGATTATAATCAGATGAGAGAGCTATACTGACCCTAGCAAACTGAATCCTGGAAAGGACTTGAAGATAAAACCTTCTTTTTTAACAAGCAGGGTCTTATCCTAATCCTTATGTGCACGGCTATAGAAATAACCTGAGAACAACCTGGACAGTAGCAGCAAGCTTGACAGCAAAGCTTCATAAAAGCCAGTATTCATTTGGGTAGGTAAAAGAGATCTAATTCAATTCCATCATTCCATTCAATCATAAAACTGCAAATACAACAGCTACTGACTGACAATATATAGTGATTAACTAAGACTGTGGGTCCTTCCTTCCTTTTTTACATGGATTGAATCAGCATTATAAAAGTAGAAGGAACTCTTAAGTCACCCAAGCAAAGCTCCATATGTTGTAAATGAAAACACTGCCACTCCATAGAAGTTGACATGTCATATCTTTAATCTCTTCTGAATGAGAAAAACTCAGAAACTCAGCATCAGAACCAATCAGTTGATTTTAAGCAAGAATCGCGTAAGAATCCATAACTACCCACATTAAAAATTCTGTCCCTGATTTCAAAACTGGATGATCCCATGAGTTTAATTTAGCATAGGAAATGGATCACTTAAATTATAATATGACAATATGCTAGTGTTTTCTGATTCTGAAAATTGGAGGGTTGAGGGAATTCTGACACAAACAGATCCCAGTGTCAACCACTTTGAAAAACAGGAAGGCTTGAAAACAGATGAGAAGATTTGAGAAGATGAAGTGTTCAATGTGGACAAAACAGCAAACAGGCCCAATTGTAACCACCAATATCTGAAAAGTCAAATAATAGTTAGATGGAAGTTGTGTTAAATCTTGTGCTTTTACCATGAAGAAACTGATATATATATATATAGTTTAAAAAACTAATTAGGCTTTGAGTGGAGGAAGTACTAAGCAAGCCAGTACAGTACAGTCTTGTTTATCCGACATAAACAAGTTGGCAGAACGTCAGATAAACAAAAAGTTGGGTTGGTAGCACAACTGGTTAATCAGCCACAATAAATCTGTCAGGACCCAGAAGCCTTAAACAACACCAGACACAGATTAAAGGTTCAAACACAGCTTTATTGCAAACAAAAGGACCTACAAAACACTTAACTTCAGTGCTAAGGTCTGCTGGAGCAATTTGGCACCAAAAATAAGTTGTTAGGAGAAACAAAAATATAATCCGGATTATAGCGCTGCCTAATAATTCGGATTAAACAAAAGATGAAGCAAATTGCTTAAAAATCAAAATAGGACAAAAGCACAGTCTTTGAAGCTGGAATAACATGGTTTCAAAACTAAAAGTTGTTAAAGTCACAAAGATATTAGCAAACAAAGTCCAGAAGTCCAAAAGCGAAGTCAAACCGGTCCATAGTCAATTCCGTTGAGAAGCAACGCTGGAATGCTGGAGTCACCGAGGAAACTGGAGCACAGGAACACTCAAAGCTATAGCCCAGGACCCAAGGTGGAAAGTTGGCAGGTACAAAGAATTATGTCCCATGAAGACACTTTGCCTTCTGCAACTTGTAGTCCAAACTGAACCCACTTTTATCTCAAAGTTCTTCCTCAGAGCTTGATGAGCTCCCCACCCTCTCGTCATCACTCTCAGATGCTCCCAAACCTGCAGCTGAATGCCCATCCCTCCACCTCTGCCAACGATTATCAGGGTTTAGATCCTGCCAAGAGTCCCCTGGCTGCCAATCCCCAGTGAACCTCTCAAATTCCTCACTAGAGGTGGGCTGGTTACAGATATCCCTTATGTTTTGCACACAGGTCCAATCTAACTCCTCCTCTTCTTCCATATTACTCCCAGTCCCAGACCTCCTTTCAAACCCAAGAAAATCTTCATCCTCTGTTGGTGCACAATGTATTTCCCGAATACGCTTCCTTTGTAATTCCCCTTCAGACTCTGGCTCACGAGCAGCCCTCTTTACACCTCTGCTCACTTCCCCATCCCCCATCTCACAATCAGAGAAACCTGGGAACGTGTCAGTATCGCTTGGAGCCATAATGATTTCTCTAATGTGCTGACGCTGCTGTTCTCCCTCTGACTCTGAAGTAGACCCGTTCTCCCTGCTACTAGGAGTAGCAACTCGAGCAACACGCTGAACTACAACAAAATCACTGGAGGAAGTGCCTGGATGCAGAAGAGGTGTGTGGAAATCACAGAGGAAAGGAGGGAGGATGCTTCTGCTTCTGGTCCTGCCTCTTTTCCCCCTTTCCTCCCTCCTCCTTTTCTTGCCTTTTCCATTTATTGGGAATGGAGATAGAGTTGGGGAGCGCTCCTTTAATTGAAGAAGGAATGCTGGAGGAAAAGGTGAGTGTTGGATAAGAACGTCAGATAAGACGGAATGTCCGATAAGCGAAGGTCAAATAAGCGAGACTCTACTGTACCTCTCATTTTTAACAGTAATGGCTGTGTTGTTTGAAGCCCCTGTTATTAGAAAACACCAAAAATGTACCATATCACCATTTCAAAACAAAAGTAAGCACATCCGAAGATGGTATAGAAAAGCACTTTATTGTTGTTCTGTGACTTTTTTTGCCATTGACTTCCTTTGAGGTGTGAGAGAGGGATTTACTCAAGGATGCTCAATGATCAAATGGAGTTTTGAATTCTGGGGTCCTAGATCAACACTCAAATTACTACCATTACTGGTATTGTCACATCAGAGAAGACTTAAAGATAAGTGGGGTGTCTTCAAAATTGTTATGGCAAAACTAATGGAGGCCTTTTCCTATTCACTTTGTGGCTTCACTTGCTTTGGGGAGCACTGAAAATTTTAGATTATAGTTATGGCTGCAGAATTAATCTTAAAATTAGAGGAGAGGGAAAATCACTGCAGCTTATTTCCCCCAAAAAAGAAGTTGGGTTCTGAATAACAAGTAATGTAACCTCTCATGAAACCAATGTTCATATCCACCAAGAGCTTAATTAGTTGCTAAGCTATATCTCCAAATCATTTTCTTCCATAATAGCATATGGTTGCACTGCAAATTCAATTGTTTCTAAAAATGCAGCTAACCAATCTAATTGAATGGCACTGTGGAAAATAATCTCCTTTTGCTGATTATTATTACTTTATGTAGAGTTTCTTCTCCATTTCTGAAATGAGAAGTGGAAGATATATTTAAAAGCACATCTGAAAATGAAAGCAAAAAAACCATCTGTTTGATCAGAAGGAAAATGAACTTCACAGGGTGTCATTATTTCATGTCAAAATTATTTTATACTAGTAGGGCTATGGAATCAAAGGTTTCTCTGCTTAGCCATATTGCTAAGAGATTGAAAATCAGTGACTCCTTCCTTAGCAGTCTTTTTTATCTTAACTCAAAGTATCTAGCTTCTGTGTAAATGCTCTTTTTGTAGCTTTTGGTGCTCCCATTTTAAAATA